ATGGCCCCTTGATTCCAGGAGTTTCCACAGTGTCCCAACAGCTCCTTGGTTCCAGGAGGCCCTGCAGTGTCCTAAAGGCCTCCTGATTCCCCAGGGTTTCGCAGTGTCCCGCTGTTCCTTTTGTTCCGTGAGGATCCGCAGTGGAACAGGGTCCCTTTGGGGCCATAAGGCCCTGCAGGGTCACAGTGACCCCCTGATTCTGGGAGGTTCGGAAATATCTCAGGGCTGAGAAAACTGGGATTGTTCAGGCTGGAGAGGAGAAGGCTTTGGGGTGACCTAATTGTGGCCTTCCAGTGCCTGAAGGGAGCCAACAAGAAAGATGGAGAGAGACTTTGGACAAGGGCCTGGAGTGACAGGACAAGGGGCAGTGGCTTCACACGGATAGAGGGAAGGGTTGGAGGAGATAGTAGGAAGGAATTCTTTCCTCTGAGGGTGCTGAGATGCTCTTTAAGGCCCCTCCCAACCCAAAGCATTCCATGATTCTGGGACTGGTGGGTGAGGTGGTGGTCGGAGCCATCTGGGGCACAGGGACACAAAATGAGGGAGTTTTCCATTGTGGGGGAAGGAAGGAGGGGGCAGCAGAACTGACACCTTGGACACCAGGCAGGCAGGCTTTGGTTTTCCTGGGAGAATGATGGATGGAGTCCCCTGGGAGTCAGTCCTGAAGAACAAAAGAGTCCAGGAAGGCTGGAGGTGCTTTAAGAAGGAAATCTTCAAGCTCCAGGAGCTGTGCCCATGTGCCCTAAGACAAGCCAGGGGGCAAAAAGCACAGCTTGGTTAAAGAGAGAACTCAGACTGGAACTCAGGGGAAAAAAGAGAGTGTCTCACCTCTGGAAGGAGGGGCAGGAAACTTGGGAGAACACAAGGATGTGGTGAGGTCATGTAGGGGGAAAATTAGAAAGGCCAAAGACAAACTGGAACTGAATTTGGCCACTGCACTTGCAGACAGCAAAGAATGTGTCTCTAAATCCATGGGCTCCAGCCAAAGCCATGGAATTTGTTTCCTTTGGGTTGAAGGTCAGACTGTGCCTGTGTCCAGCCCAGAGGCTCAGAAAAGCATTTCGGGGGGAGGTTTCTGAGGGCAGCACTAACCAGACTTTTGTGTGTGTGTGTGAGACAGGCAGAAGCACAAATGCCTGCACAGCCCAGAGCAGTCAGTGTGGGGCTGTGCTTGCTGCTGCAGAGACCCCCAAGGAACAAACCCAGGGGATAGTTTGGGTTTATTCCTTGCTCTGTGTCAGTGGAATAGGATGTTCCACAGGAGCTCTGTCCCCCTCTGTGGCACCGGGCGGCTCGAAGCTGAAGGGGGGGGTCAAGTGCAAGTTCCCTTCTGAAGTGTGTGTCCCTAGGGAGGACACTTGCCTTATTATTGCTTGTTATTTGTAATACAGATGCACCACACCTAAGGATGGATTCTGTAGAATATGTGCCATAGATATTTGGGTTGGGTCTGGCTGAGCTGCAGTTCAGTTCAGTTGACTTTCTGATGGGCAACTGGGCCCATCCCCCTCCTCCAGTGCAGAAGATGTCAAGCCCCCAAAAGGCGGGAAGAGCCGAGTTTACCACGCCCTCCACATGAACTCCGCGCCAAAAAGGGGGACACCCCCCTATGAAAACAACTCCCCGCCTTGGGGGAGGTGCAAAGGATATGGATATTGACTGGTGACTTTGGGGGTTTGGGGGGGATTTTTCCTTCTTCTCCCCCCACCGCCTGCGGATCCAGACCATTGCTTTTTACATGGCTGGATCCCGTGGGCGGTGACTATAGACGTTTTTACCACTCTCATCTTTTTTCTTGCTCTCCCTTACTCTTACCCTGTCTTTCTCTCCCCAATGCATTTTTCTCCTCCCCCAAAAGGTTCTCCTTGTTATATGACAGCCCCCAAAATGCTGGCATACCTGTTGATACAAAATTGTTAAAATAAACCTTGTCAATATGTTTTCAGACACCGATTATTTAGTGTTGTTTCACTTTAATCCACCCCAAGGGAATTATTGATAAAACCTGAGTTACCCCCCTGCCTTTTTCCTGGGGCGGGTCGTAACAGTCACTGCTGTGCCTGTGATGTCACTGCTGTCCCTGTGATGTCACTGCTGTCTCTGTGATGTCACTGCAGTCCCTGTGATGTCACTGATGTCTCTGTGATGTCACCAATGTCTCTGTGATGTCACTGCAGTCCCTGTGATGTCACCACTGTCTCTGTGATGTCACCATTGTCTTTGTGATGTCACCGCTGTCCCTGTGATGTCACTGCTGTTATTGTGATGGCACTGCTGTTATTGTGATGTCACTGCTGTCCCTATGATGTCACTATTGTCCCTGTGATGTCACTGCTGTCACTGTGATGTCACTACTGTGTCTGTGATGTCACTGATGTATCTGTGATGTCACTGCTGTCTTTGTGATGTCACCGCTGTGTCTGTGATGTCACCTCTGTCTCTGTGATGTCACCAATGTCCCTGTGATGTCACCACTGTCTCTGTGATGTCACCGCTGTCCCTGTGATGTCACTCCTGTCCCTGTGATGTCACTGCTGTCTTTGTGATGTCACCACTGTCTCTGTGATGTCACCGCTGTCCCTGTGATGTCACTGCTGTGTCTGTGATGTCACTGTTGTCTTTGTGATGTCACCTCTGTCTCTGTGATGTCACTCCTGTCCCTGTGATGTCACTGCTGTCTTTGTGATGTCACCGGTGTCTCTGTGATGTCATTGATGTCCCTGTGATGTCACTGCTGTGCCTGTGATGTCACTGCTGTCATTGTTTTGTCACAGCTGTCCTTGTGATGTCGCTGCTTTCTCTGTGATGTCACCGATGTCTCTGTGATGTCACTGCTCTGCCTGTGATGTCAGCGATGTCTCTTCAACCAGACTGCAACCACCATTTTCAATCAGACTGTGACCACCACTGTCAACCAGACTGCAGATCACCACTCTCAACCGAACTGCAACCACCACTCTTGACCAGACTGCACCACCACTCTCACCAAGAGGGATTTTTTCCCCCTCTCCCTTTACTTTGGGCCCAGGGGGCCCAACAAACACCACTCTGTTCATGCCCCAGGGTGCTGGGTTATACATTTGGGTTTTGTGGGTTAAAACCAACTGTTTGTCTGTATAATTGTACTTATTGTGTTATTTTATTAAATTGTTATTCTGACTTATAATCTCTCTTTTGGGTTGAGTTCATTTCCCCTGCTGGTTTACCTTTAAACCAGCACAATCCAACTGCTGAAATTACCGGGGTATTACTCTGCTCCCCATTGCTGGCAAAATCCTGGCAAGAATACTCTTGAACAGACTAATACCCGCTATGGCAGAAGGAATTCTCCCTGAAAGCCAGTGTGGTTTCAGAGCCAACAGGAGCCCCACAGACATGGGATTTGTTCTCAGACAACTGCAAGAGAAGTGCAGGGAACAGAACAAAGGTCTCTATGGAACCTTTGTTGACCTCACCAAGGCTTTCGATACTGTGAGCAGGAAAGGTCTGTGGCAGATTTTTGGAACGTTTAGGTTGTCCCCCCAAGTTCCTTAAAATGATTATCTCACTCCATGAGGATCAGCACGGCCAAGTCAGTTATGGCAATGCACTTTCTGAGCCCTTTCTAATAACCAATGGTGTGAAACAAGGCTGCGTTCTTGCTCCAACCCTATTCACAATCTTCTTCAGCAGGATGCTCCAAAGGGCCACGGCAGACCTCGATGATCAGGACGGGATCTACATCCGATATCGTACCAATGGAAGCCTTTTCAACCTAAGGGGACTGAAGGCCCACACCAAGACCTTAAACCATCTTGTCCAGGAGCTGCTTTATGCTGATGACGCCGCCCTCGTCGCTCACACAGAAGCAGCTCTGCAGCGTTTAACATCCTGCTGTGCTGAGGCTGCTGAGCTCTTTGGGCTGGAAGTCAGCTTAAAGAAGACAGAAGTTCTCCATCAACCTGCACCTCAGGAAGTCTTCCATCATCCCCACATCACCATTGGCCAATCAGAGCTCAAATCAGTCCAGCAGTTTAATTACCTAGGGAGCCTCATCTCCTCGGATGGTGAGATTGACGGAGAGATGGACAACAGGTTAGCAAAGGCATAGAGAGCTTTTGGAAAACTCCATAAAAGAGTTTGGTGAAATAAACACTTGAAGAAAAGCACAAAGATCAGTGTTTACAGAGCCATTGTGCTGTCTACTCTCTTATTTGGGTCCAAATCATGGGTCATCTACAGCCACCACCTGCGACTCCTGGAACGCTTCCATCAACGCTGCCTCCGTACAATCCTAAACATCCCCTGGTCAGATGATGTGACCAATCCATCTGTTCTAGAACAGGCAGCAGTCACAAGCATTGAGGCCATGTTGCTGAGAACACAGCTGGGCTGGGCAGGGCACGTCTCCAGGATGAAGGACCAACCACCTCCTCCCTAAGATCGTGCTCTGTGGTGAACTTGCCACCGGCTGCTGCAAGAGAGGAGCCCCGAAGAGGAGATACAAGGACTGCCTGAAACAACATCTCAGCCTTGGCCACATTGATCTTCATCACTGGTCTACTCTGGCCTCCAGTCGGGAGGTCTGGAGACACCCCATCTCTAACGCTGCTGCTTCCTTTGAGAACGCAGCAGGATCACCATCGAGGAGAAAAGACAACGCAGAAAGAACCGTGTCCTGTCGATCCCATCCAAGGAGTCTTTCTGCTCTGCCTTTTGCAACTGGACGTGTCTGTCTCGTATTGGCCTCTTTAGCCACCAGTGTGCTTGTAGCAAATGTGGGCAGAGCCCTTCCAAATCTTCGTTCGCGAAGCCCAGCCATGATTTTGGATCTTAATTTGGGAGTCTGGACTCATTGGTTCATTTGGTTCTGGAACTGGTATTTGGTTTATTTGGTTTTGGAAACAGGTATTTGGTTTCTTTTGTATTATGGGTACTTCAGGTTGCAAAGAAAGAATCTTGAAGAAATCCTTTCTGGTATTTTGGATATTAACTTGTGATTTCTGGACTTATAAGTTGATATGGTTTTGGAAACTGGTATTTGGTTTATTTTGTATTCCTGAACCATTGGAAACAAATTGGGACCCCCTTGGAGGGACAAAGCTGTTGACGCCCCAGGGGTTCCAGGATCCTGAGGATTCCAGTGCCCACTGAAAGTGTTATTGAGGGAGATCCTCTCAGTCCCTGGATCCGGGGAGTTCCAAGCAAGATCCCTGGGATTTTATTAAGGCATTAAAAGGTTTATAAAAGGTATATAAAGGTATATAAAAGGTATATAAAGGTATATAAAAGATGTACCTAACCAACATAGAAATGGAGCTCTATAATATAATATGATTGACTTATAAAAAGTTGTGATAGAACTGTAAAAAAAGAGGTGTGATGCCTCAGAGCTTTTTGGAATTTTTAACTTTGGTAGATTTTAGAAGTAGTGGTGTAGTGATTGTAGATTTTAATGTAGCTGCATTCTATCCCTTACCCTGTAGCATAATGTTTGCACATCCCCAACCCTGTTACCCCATCCCATATCAACCCCTCTAAATCCCGTTAGCGTGTTTAGTCTTCTTTTCAAGGTAGAATTGTAGAAAAGCCTGGAGCAGAAGACATCACACAGACACAGCCACCTTCAAGCCCAGAACTCTGGAGGAACTCCAAGGACTGTGGGTGCTGTGAAGAAGATGAAGCTGAGGAAGAAGGGGTCCCAAAGACCCCAAAGCCAATTCCCAAAGGGGTGTGTCAGGGGCAGAACGGGGCAGAAGTGGGGGGTGGAGAGATCTGGGGTTGGATGGACCTTGTTCTAAAATCCCAGAGCCACTGCCTGGGGGGTGCCCGTCGTGTGTGTTCCCCTGGCCTGAGGCTCCACTAAAGGACCTGCTCTCTTTATCTCATCTCATCCACTCCCCTGGCCTGGAGTCTTTTCCTCCGCGCTCTCTTGAGGCAACGGGGACTGGACCTACCAGGTGCTGGGGATGCTGGAAATCCCCCCCCGGTGCCGGGTGGAGCACGTCAGCCTGGAGCACCCCCTCAGCCAGGACTGGGGTACGGCCCGGCCCCCCCAGCACCGGGGGCACACTGGGAGGGGGGTGAGGGGCTCTGGGGGCCGTGGAGGGAACTGGGAGGGAGTTTGTGGGGTAAGGAAAAGGGTCTGGGAGGGAATGGAGAGGCTGAGAAGGAGGTTGGTGGGTGCTGGGAGGGCTGAGAGGGGCTTTGGTGAGTCCTGGGGGCAACTGGGAGGGAGTTTTTTGGGAGCCTTTTGGGGATGGGAGCCACCTCAGCCAAGCCCAGCGCGCCCCAAACCCCCCAAAACGGCGCCGCCCGGCTGGTTTGGGGCTGTCAGCAGCTGTCCGGCGCTGGGCATGGAGCGTGTGCGGGGAGCTGGGGCCGTGCTGGCGGTGCTGGTGGTGCTGGGAGCCCCCCCGGCTGCGGGCGAGGAGCTGTTGGGTGAGCAGGGGGGGGCAGGAAGGGGGGTCGGGTGGGAAAGGGGGGGAAAGAGGGGAGAAAAGAGTGTGTGGGAGCCCCAAAAGTGAGTGCGAGGGGGGTCGGAAGGGGCGGAGTGAGTGGGAGGGGGGTGGGAGCCCCAAAGTGAGGGCAGGGGTGTCTGGGGGGTGAAAGGAAAGGGGTGGGAGAGGGGGGCAAGGGGGTGTGGGAGAGCAGGCAGAGGGGTGCCCTGGGGGTCCCTGGGTGTCCCTTGAGCCCTGGAGCGGTTCCCTGGGGCTCTGGGGGGGTTGGATCCACATTGGGGGGGTCCCCAACCCCCCCTGTCCATCCCTAGAGGGTTGATGGAGAGATTCCCCCCCAGCCAAGAGCAGGAGCTGGGGCGTCCGTGGGGCAGAGGGGGGTGGGAAAGGGGGATCCGGGGTGGCCCCCTGAGCTCCCACCCTGCTGTGGGGGGCTGGGGGATGATGGGGGGGGACGGGGCACCCCCTGACCCGTGTCCTGCACACACAGGGGTGTTCCAGAGGATGTTCAAGGCTGAGTGTCACTTCATCAACGGCACCGAGCGGGTGAGGTACATGGAGAGGCACATCTACAACCGGGAACAGCAACTGCAATTCGACAGCGATTTGGGGGTCTATGTGGGGGACACCCCATTTGGGGAGATCCAGACCAGGTACTTGAACAGTCTCCCAGGAAGCCTGGAGTACGCACGGTCTGCTGTGGACACGTACTGCCGGCCCTACTACGAACTTGATACCCCGTTCAGCATGGAG